TCTCCTATTCATCAACAGAATCAACAAGTTCCTAATCAGAGGAAAACCCAGTTTGATCCAATTCCAATTACTTATACAAAGTTGTTCCCTATCTTGATGCAGAGGAATTTGGTTCAGACCCGACCTCCACCGAAGGTTCCTGAGAAGATACATTGGTACTACAAAGCTGATTTGGCTTGTACCTTTCATCAAGGTGCTCCTGGGCATGACTTGGAGGGTTGCTTTGCTTTGAAGATTGAGGTTCAGAAGTTGGTCAGAAGAGGTATCTTGTCATTCAAGGACGTTGGTTTTGAAGTTCAAATCAAGCATGCGCCGAAGAGTAAACACGATTGATAGTGACTTTGATTTTTGAAGGATGTTTTCGGTAATTCAAGTCCAGATGGAAAGCCTTCCCAGATTATTAACTTATTTATGCTTTTTGTAATTTTTCTTGTTTATCAAAACATTGTTTGCATGTAAGAACTTGTTTGCATCTGTATGATTATCTTAATACAATGAGTATGTTTGTCTTGAAGAAATTCATTCGTTTCACTCATATTTGTTTTCAAATTTTAAATTTCTCTTTGCATTATGATACCAACTTGTTGCTTGTTCTCTTGCCTAGGCAGAGATTGAAAAGAGGATGATGATCTAAAGAATACAAAATCTCTGGTTGCATGCTTTTGGATAAAATCTTGCTGATGATGTACATGCATTGTTTCAAATCCCTAAACACTGGAGATATAAGGAAGATAATCCCTTGCTAACCCCTTTTGAGCCTTTGAAGCAGATGTTTCTTTTCTATACGAAAAAACCTTGAATTTTAACCTGGGGCAGGGTAGGTTTTAGTTAATCTGACTGAGTGTTCAAAATTCATAAGGAAGATGTTTTTTGAAGAGAAACTACGAGGGCTATCCTTCATGTATAATGAATCTAGAGGATGTGGAACCACAATGTTATCCCTCATTCATCAAGAAACGAGGCAATCACAATCCTCTCAACAAGCAAAGACAAGCTAATGTCACACATTTTGTTCAAAAAGTCAAAAATCAAGAAAAAGAAAAAGCCTGCTAAGTCAAAAACATGAAAACTTACGACTTAGGCAAAAATTAAGGCATCCCGCTGGACTATCAATTCAAAAGAATTAGTTCAGGCAAAAGTTAGGGAAAATAAAAATTGCAAATAAAGTACTACAAAGAAAAGTCCTCAGCAAAGAACAAATTGGTGACTACAAACACGAAGACATGAGGGTGGTTTCTACTCTGAAAGCCTCGTCGTTTCCTTGACCGTCACAAAATCCTTTTGAGAGATGAACACTCATGTTGAATTAACTGAACATAGGGTTGGAGAACATCATGAAGGGGGTGGGCACCAAATATTTTGAGCCTTAAATCTTTTTTTCTAAAACCATGAACCAGACCACATTACAACCTTCAAAAGTCCTAATTGAAGCAAGGTTATTTTGAAAGCATACTTCAATGAGATAGTGTTCCTGACTCCCATGAATGTTCTAAATAGTTATGTTGGTATCATATGTTTTTCCTATACAAAAATAAATGATGCTCTAACTCGCAAAATTTGTGCGATATCTTTTCAAAATCTTCAAGACTTACATAACTGTTGCATTAGAATTTTCATTCTCATAATAAAATTTTCTAACTGCAAAACATTTGTTTGATATCAAGGAAACTCACATATAAGCACCAGTGATGAGTCTATTCTTAAGGCCTGAAGCTCTGTTGAGTAATTGGCGAATCATTTCAAGAAAAAAATCATCTCCAGGGGCATGTCACCTGAAGACCGTAAGCACGAACATGTTGCTTCTCCCAGTTAATGCTTTTCCCAACTTGTTTACTCTTTTGGGGCAAAATTTTAAGACTTTGTTGTGCCAACTACAGTCAATCCGGGGCAATCACATCGAGATTTGATAAATCTCTCTAAGAGTTTGAAGACACCAGAGCATAGTGAATGCCAGGTCTTTTGTAAAATCCTCTTGAGACGATTTCTCCTCATCAACCATATAGCTTGGGGCATTTTAGAAGTGAAGTTATTCGCAAGAATCGTCACGCAGCTTATCAGCAGTAAACTTGGGGCATCCAAAATTAATCCAAGGGGAAATCCAGATTTGTCAAGATATGTTTTTCATACATTATCAGAGGGTGGTGTTCCCAGTATCTCCAGCTAAGCATGACTTTTTCCAGCCGAAACATTGTTCGTGTTGTCATCCTTTCAAGGGATTGTTAGTGATAGAAGACTGGACTTTGAGTTTTCTACCTGAAAATATCTTTCTCTCCAGAGATATTTAAGCCTTGTAAAAGGACCTTGCTCCAATGATGGCTTGTGTTTTATCTCCAGTAATGTTCCCATCCTGTTGAGATTAGCCGAGTGTCGAGTTGTACTGGGACGTCTTATCATCTTCTGTCTATCTCCCCTGTCTGTTTTGTCAACATATACATGACATTTATTCATTCGTTCATACTTGTATCATGCACGCACATTTGTATTTGTTGATATCTTTGAGTTCGTATACCTTGGTTATGTCTATTCAAATAGTGTATTTGATCCTTCCAAATAGAGTGTCAACTTAAGCAGAAAGTGCGCCTCCTTTCTAATTCCCCACTGAGTTAACTCTCGTGGAAGAATCTTGGTTTAGCTTTCCTTTTCCATCTCTGGATAGGATAAATCCCCATTTGAGTTGTTTCCTCATTGGGTGGAGTCTTGTTTGACTGTTTTCTCCCCAGTTTATTCCTGGATTGAGCTTTGTCTCTTGTGAACGATACCCTGTGAATATCTCTAGGCTGTGAAACCTAGATGGAAAGTGCATTTATTTTGCAATGTAAATACTTGGTCTCCTCAAGAAGGATTTATTCATGGTTCCCCATTGAAGATGAACTTTATTCCCCAGTAGTGTTATCACAACCTTCTTCTGGAATATCGACATGACAACAAGCGACTGACTCTTTATTTGAGCAGTTTGTTTATTTCTGATTTCTCTACGACAGATGGAGGTCTCTTCATGAGCAGTTTGTCCGTCGCCGAGGAAATTATTGATTCTCACCTCCAGAAATATCTTCACGATACTTTGTTGTTACCTTTGAGAAACAGCAAGCGGCAGTCTCTTCATGGACAACTTGTATGTTATCAACACTTTTAAAAACAGCAAGTGGCAGTCTCTTCATGGACAACTTGTATGTTATCAACACTTTTTAAAAACAGCAAGTGGCAGTCTCTTCATGGACAACTTGTATGTTATCAACACTTTTTAAAAACAGCAAGCGGCAGTCTCTTCATGAGGCAACTTGTGTGTTATGTATACTCTTGACAAACAGCAAGCGGCAGTCTCTTCATGAGCAACTTGTATGTTATTGATACCTTTGAAAAAACAGCAAGCGGCAGTCTCTTCATGAGCAACTTGTATGTTATTGATACATTTAAAAAAACAGCAAGCGGCAGTCTCTTCATGAGGCAACTTGTGTGTTATGGATACTCTTGACAAACAGCAAGCGGCAGTCTCTTCACGAGGCAACTTGTATATTATTGACACCTCGAAAAACGGAAAGTGGCAGTCCTTTCATGGGTAGCTTGTACGTTATTTTTTCTTTTGAAAATGGCAAGTGGCAGTCCTTTCATGGGTAGCTTGTACGTTATTTTTTCTTTTGAAAACGGCAAGTGGCAGTCCTTTCATGGGTAGCTTGTACGGTTTTTTTTCTTTTGAAAACGACAAGTGGCAGCTTCTTTCATGAGCAGCTTGTACGGAAAACGGCAAGTGGCAGCTTCTTCATGAGCAGCTTGTACTTTAGTATTTTTGGAAGACAGCAAGTGGCAGCTTATCTATTTGAGCAACTTGTGTGTTATTGTTCCCTTGAAAACGGCAAGTGGCAGCTTCTTTATGAGCAGCTTGTGGGTTATTGGCAACAAGTGGCAGACTCTTCATGAGCAGCTTGTGTACTTTGATATTCTTTGAAGACAACAAGTGGCGGACTCTTCATGAGCAGCTTGTATGCTTTAATTTTCTTTGAAGACAGCAAGTGGCAGTCTCTTCATGAGCAGCTTGTATGTTATTGTCACCTTTGAAAGATAGCAAGTGGCGGCCTCTTTATTTGAGCAGCTTGTGTATCCCCCAACAATAATGTCTACTCAGCAAATGACATCCCTTCGGAAAAGTCCCGTGGGGAAGTTTGTTATTTTATCTTTTTCAAGCGATCTTGGTTAAAGAAGAAATGTGTTACCGTTCTTGGTAAAATTCAGAAATCAGAGATGTTTATCTCCAGCCACAGTGTTGATGTCAATCATTTTGTTTTCCATCCACAGTGCTGATGTCAATCATTTTGTTTTCTAGCCACAGTGCTGATGTCAATCATTTTCCAGTCTCAGTACTGATGTCCATCATTTCCTTTTCCATTCACAGTGCTGATGTAAATCATTTCTTTTTCCAGTCTTCGTACTGATGTAAATCATCTTTTTTCCAGTCTTCGTACTGATGTAAATCATCTCTTTTCCAGTCTCAACACTGATGTAAATCATTCAAGAGTCTCTCATTTGAAGTCTATGACTTTGTTTCCCCAGTGGAGTTACAACCTCTTCCTCTGTGGGATTACTGTATAATGTGCTTGGTTTCTCCAGCATAGTCTGTCTCATATGGCGTCATTCCCCATAAATTTCACAACATCACATTCATATCATATCGTAAACATAATCGCGGTATCTTAAGGCCAAAAATTGTGTATTCTATATTTAAGTCCCTTCAATCTCGTCGAAATGAAGATCCCCAATCTTCATATCTCCATATAGAAGAAACTTAAATAGGGGCAGCTGTTGTACCCCAATTTTTGACCTAAGATCCCATTTTTTTTTTTGCATTTTTATAAAAAAGTCAAGGTCACTAAATACGGTCGGTTTTAACCTCTCACCTTCGAGCTTTGACTATGTGAAGATTGTCAAGTGTTTTGAACATTTTTAGCATATGTATCACTAATTTCTAATTGCATACAAAGGTGTATGTTCATGTTTTCTTTTGTGTCATGTGCAGAGATAGGTCTGAATCAAGAGCATCAGGTGTCGCGCCTCAATTAAGGTTTTGAGGTTCCCAAGCCAAAAGTACGGTTGATTATGGATTCTCGAAGACTGATTCATCAAGGCACAATTGTTGCACCCTAAATTTCGCCCCTAATTTTTTCAGTCGCACATTCATACCATATTTTGTCATTTGGTCACAATCATTAGTAAATATCTTCATTCATCACATTTTGCATCATTAGTCGTATTTAAGTTGACCAGAAAAAGTCAGTTTAAATCAAAGTTTGCATCGTCTTTCAGTTGTAAAATACCTGACATTTCACTTCATTCATTTTTATCTGTTTACTATTTTCTTGTACTGCTCCAAGTTGTTTATATGTCGATAATAAAATATTTTGGTTTTATAGACAGACTGTTAAAAGCGATTCGACACTATGCGGAAAGTAGCGAGAAAATATTTCAAGTTTTCACCTTTTACCGATCATTTTATGAATCTGCGCTTCGCGTAGATTATGACGGTATGCTCGCTTTATTTTTTCGGTACAGTTCGAAGTCTCGTTTTTAACCTTAAACGTCTGTTTAGTCTGATATTTTTATTATTATTTTATTTTTGATTTTTGAATTCTTGAATATTTTTCTTTAATCTTTGTGACATGTAGATTATTTTAATGTGTTCATTTTATTTTTTCGGATAAATTTTCGTCCGTTTTTTATCATTTTCGGTCATTTTTGGGTCTTTATATTTTATTCATAAAATATTCAAAAAACTCATTTTAAATTGAGTTATTTTTTATACTTTCAAGTTTTTATTTTTATTTTTGTCATTAAAGGGCTTTTTAGTCACAAAAAAATATTAAATATACTATGCTTGATTTTCATTGGTTGCTGGCAGAATTTACGGATGGATACAAAATCACCAAAACACAACTCACTTTCAATACACAGTAACCTATCCTCTCTTCTTATATACACAACAAAAAAACAAACAAAAGGAGGCATTAGCAGTAAACCACACTTGCTACCATCCCTCTCTATTCAATTCACATCCACAACAACAAACCCCTTCAATTTTTCTCTCCATCAAACCACCCTCATTTGCGCTAGTAACTCCCTCAACCTGGAAAAGGTTTCAGGAATTTTTGGAAATAAGCATATTTAAAAAAAAAGGTCAAGCAAAGCAAAATCTGTTTCAACTATGGGAGGAAAATTATTTTGAATGAAACCACTGTCTTCCCCAGTGGATGCAACTTGTAGCGACAAGCTAACGGACCCATCTCATGAAAGTTGCATGGAAGGAACTTCATCATGCGTGGATGCTGATGACAAGAACCTGAACTTATCCCCAACAGTCACGCCTATAGACACGATGTCAGCTTCACCCGATAAGGAAGTTTTGTCGCCTTCTAAAATTCTAATTTAGATACAAATGGTAACCTGCTGGAGGAGAAGCCTAATTTATCTGGGGATAAAATTCCTTTTAGAAAAACAATTGTTCTTGCTATTACTGTTGGTGGAGAGGAAATGCAGAAAAGGAAGCTTAAAGTTATTAGTGATAATGATAATCATAAGAGGCGTAGGACTGAAAAGGGGATTCAAAATGGAAAAGAGAGAGATCCATTGGAAAATTGAAGATTTTGAGACAAAAATGCAGTAACCTTCTCTACAATTTCGTTCCCCCAACCCTCATTATTCACAATTCCTTCAGTTTCTTCTTCCGCCAATAACACCACTCCACTGTAAATCACCATCAGCTTCAACCGTAAAAAAAAAAACCTTCAAACGGACTCCATTCAGTTTCTCCGCCCCACACCCTTCATATTTTCGTCGGCGAATCACCATCACCACCTCCCAACCCACCGTAACAGCTCCATCTCATATCACCTTACAAAATCCGTTCAACCATCATCACCTTACATCGCCGTCTTCCTCTCTCTCTCATGAACCCAGCAATCTGTTCCTCATCATCAACGTTCGTAACGTCATCCACCATCACCACCTCCGCAGCTCACCGAAAACATCACCCTTCTGCAACAAAACAGAAGCAGCATCAACACATCACCGGGCTATTCCGATCGCCACACTCCAATTGGTAAACCTCATAATTCCTACTTGATTAGTTTTTTTGATTGGTTTTAATTGAAGATTTGTTGTTAGTTGTCATGGAGATTGAACGACATTGTCTGAAAATTAATAATGGACCGATGATGTTGATTGCTTGTTGAAGTGTTGTTCAGTTTGTTTTGTGTCTGAATTAGAGATTGTAGATTGACTAGTAATGACATTGATGAATTTGTGTTGAAAATACTTGTATTGGTTTTGATGTTGCTTGAATAAAATATTATATTTGTTGTTCAAAAAAAAAAATATTAGTAAATCTTATAATTAATTTAGTTTAATATTAATTTAGAATTCTTTAATTAGTCTAGATTTATTTTATAACTTTAGAATTTTATTTCATTTAGTAAATTTTAGAATTTTATTTGTTTTAGTTTAGTTTAATAACTTTAGAATTTTATTTGATTTTATTTAAGTTAACTTTAGAATTTTATTGGTTTAGTTTTAGTTTAATAACTTTAGAATTTTATTTGATTTTATTTAAGTTAACTTTAGAATTTTATTTGTTTAGTTTTAGTTTAGTGACTTTAGAATTTTATTTGATTTTATTTAGTTAACTTTAGAATTTTATTTGTTTAGTTTTAGTCTAGTGACTTTAGAATTTTATTTGATTTTATTTAAGTTAACTTTAGAATTTTATTGGTTTAGTTTTAGTTTAATAACTCTAAAATTTTATTTGATTTTATTTAAGTTAACTTTAGAATTTTATTTGTTTAGTTTTAGTTTAGTGACTTTAGAATTTTATTTGATTTTATTTAGTTAACTTTAGAATTTTATTTGTTTAGTTTCAGTCTAGTGACTTTAGAATTTTTATTTGATTTAGAATTAGTTTAATAAGTTTATAATTTTTATTTAGTTTAATAACTTTAGAGTTTTTATTTGATTTAAATTTAGTTTAGTAGTTTTAGAATTTTATTTGATTTAGATTTAGTTTAGTAACTTTGGAATTTTCATTTGTGTTAGATTTAATTTAGTAACCTTAGGATTTTAATTTAATCTAGATTTAACCTACTAAATTTTAAAACTTTAGTTTAGTTTAGATCAAATTCAATAATACTAGATTTTTTTTATAACCTTAGAATTTGTAATTAGTTTAGAATTATTTTAGTAAGTAATTTTTAATTTAGTTCGAATAACTTCTTTAGATAATTAGTTATATTCCTTTTATTTGTATATTTCTGTCATTTCAATTTCTCGGTGCCTCTTGATCATTAATTTATTTTTGTCAGATTTATTTTCTTGTGAACTTCTGAATGTTTATATTTTGATGTTCATTTTATTTTGCTTACTCCAAGGAAAAGATTTAAATTTGTTGACTTCACGTCATCAAATACATCCCATCCGATCGTGCGAATACCCTTTTTTTCATTTTTTGTTTGGTTACTATTTTGCTAAACTCAAGATAATTTTCCCACAAGACCCCATTTTCAAACTCATACCTTTTAAGTCAAAACTTCGACACTAGGTCGTCGTATCTTCAAAAATCTCATCCGCACCCATCTTTAACCAAACAAACCATTTCAACCAAACAAACTATTTTAACCAAACAAACAATTTTAATAAACAGATATTTCAAAAGGTTCCCGCGGAGTACCGCAGATGCATTGGGTGCTAATACCTTCCCATTGTATAACCAACCCCCGAACTCTCGATCTCTTTTAAAAACGCATTGTATTTTCATTACTTTTAAATATTATTTTACATTGCATATTTTAGGGTTTTATTTCGCTCTTTTCCCTTTTCCCTTGGAAATAATAAAGCGCGATGGCGACTCTTGCTTTTTGTGAGTCAAGTTAATTAATAGCTTGATCTCCGATTTTCACCGCTACACTTATGTCCATGACCCATCGCATAAGGGTAGCTTCTAAGGTGTCCTACTGTTGCTCTGGTGACCATACTGTCCCTACAAACTCGAATTGACCCGAACACCTCCAACGGTGGTGCTACCTACCTCTCAATGGTGGGATGGCACTACCTTAAGGACATTTACACAGCCTAATTCCTTAGGGTAGGTAGATGACTCGTAGATACTTGCTCTATTCAAAAACAAATCAAAACTCTTTTCACACCGACACTTTTCAAAAAGCTTTGAAAACAATTTTTCAAACACTCTTGAGGACTGATACAAGAGTCGATCTGAAATCTTTAAACGAAACTTTTTCAAGCCCACTCACTTTGAAAAGCAAACAAACCTTTTGAAAACACAATGAGCAAGTATCTAAGAGCCCATGGATAACCATGGATAGAAAGGGTGCTAACACCTTCCCTTTCTATAAATCTACCTCCCTAACCGAGAAAATATCTCATAAGGAATTTTGCTGTGCTTTTGTCCTGTCCATGTTGGAGAAAATAAAAGACGGTGGCGACTCTTGCTTCCGCGACATTTCGCGATCCAGCGTTAAACAGTCAGTTCCAGATCCACCGATCACAATTGTGCAAATGATATATATAGAAAAATTCCTTTGTTTTCAAGCATGAAATTACTTTGTTGATTAGACTAAAACTCATAGGATTGTAGTTGAGTTACATATCAACAAAGTAAAAAGGAAAATGTGAACTATCAAATTGCATACCAATTGTTTGAAAATTTTCCTCACTGTGTTTTGTTATTTTTATTTCATTGGAATTAGGTTTCGATTGTGTTAACATTCAAATGTGTTGGTTGTAAAAATATATTGTCTCAATTGATTATCATTACAACACCATACTATACTGGTTTAACGCATATCCAAGATTTTCGATAAGGGTTCGGATTAGACGATAGTTGATCCTGGTGATTTCTGCGTACCAATGTTTTTAAAACTAATTTTATTCAAAAAGATTTAACTTGGGATCTATTCATCCCCCTCTAGATAAGTTGTCATCGTCTAACATCTTGGCCTTCTTATGGATTCTAATTATTGTTTTAATTCCTCTTGGGAACCTTTGATTAGTCTTATTTGTAGGAGGTTTGTTTCCAGGCATCATAGGAATGTTAGTTTGGGAGGGGGAGCTGTTCGGATGAACTCGATTCTTAATTCTATTCAAATTTTCTAATTTTATTTCTATGAAATTCTTAACAAGGTTTGAAAGATAATTGTCATAATCAAAAGAATATTCCTCATGGGGGTGTGAAAGGTGATGTTAAAATTTCTTGGGTAAGTTTGTCAAATGTTTACAAACCAAAGAGGTTTAATGGATTGAGGGTTTATGATCTTCACCGGGTCAACTTTTCTTTACTTGGAAAGTGGAATAGGAGATTACGATCATAGGCTAATGGATTATGATGGGATATCTTGTTTACTAGATGGGATACCCGTATGATTTCTTCCTTGAGCGGTGATAGGTACACTAATCTTTGTTTAGCCTCATCTTGATGGAAGGGGACTATTTCTTTGGGTCTAAGACTAGTGATCATTATGACTACCTTGTCAAAGAGATTAGTATAAGACTAGGAAATGGTCTTAATTGTTCGTTCTATAATGATCTTTTGGCGGGTCTTATTGTCATACCCCATAATTTCCCCGTCAATATTAATTGTCATTTTATTTAAATTTTAGTGTTATCATATTTTTAACCTATAGGTATTTTCATTTTAATTAGTTATTTTTTAGATATGATGGAGGTGTTAAAATGCTAAAGAAGGGGTATATTTACCATGTTTTATTAAACGGGTTTGTTAATAAATTTGAATCCACTGGCCCATTAAGACCTTTGGGGGCCCTTTATTTGTGTTAAGCCCATAGAGAAGGGTGTGTTTCTTTAACAGGGGGTGTGTCTATTTTTAATCTGTTGGTCCATTAGATGTTTTTGGGAGGCCCTTAGGTTTGTTAGGATTGACCCAATGTCAACATTTGATATTATCTTTTTATTACAATTATTATAATTATGTACTATAATTACTCATATTATTTTCATTAAACATTATTATTAATTATTATCATTATCAATATTATTAGTTATTATTATTTAATAATTATTTTACTACCAATTCTTATAATTTTATTTTCTGAGTGGGTTGACTAAATCAACCAAGGGGTATGAAACCCTAATCAGCCGCAGAGGCTACTGTTCATCGTCTTCATCTATAAGCAACCCAAGCCCAGGAAAAGACGCAAATCCAGAAATCCAAAGCAAAACTAAATCAAATACAATATTACTAAAATCAAATCATTTTTTATTAACTCAATTTACAATAAAATCGTCAAGAATCCGAATCAAATCCTAAAATCTAATTCCTAATACAATCAACATAAATCTATTCTCAATTAACAAATCGTAATAGAAATTAATACACAAATTTCCTAAATTACTCCAATCCTAAAAATGCTATAAAAATCCATAAAATTATAAGAAAAATGAGGGAAAATTAATGGAGAAAGAAGAGAGGGGGAGAAGAATTTAAAGTGTTCCAATCGTCTAAATTTGGCTGCAAGTCTACCTTCTTCACTTGAGATATGGGTTCCAAAATTGGAAACCCTAGATCTGTTGATCCATCGGTGTCGTTCACCATACTTGCAGTCAAAACAAGGGAAAAGGGGATTAGAAGGATACTTGGGCATAAAATTAGAGGAGGAAAGCGAGAAACAAGATTTCACAACACGAAAAGGTAACCCTCAGAAAACTTAGACTTAGGTATTTTTTTGTCGCAATATTGGGTTGGTTAGGGTTGAAGCTAGTTGGAGTTGCTACCGTTTAGGGTGGTTTTCTGTTAGGGTTTTGTTGATGGGTTTGTTGTTGTTGATTGTTGTTGTTAGGGAAGAGAGAACAAGAGGCGATGAGAGAGAGAGAGAGAGAGAGAGAGAGAGAGAGAGAGATAAGGGATGAAAATGAGAAAAGAATGAATGGACAAGAAAAATATAATACTCCATTCGTGTCTTCCTTCATAAAGCAACA